ATTGTGTGATTTTAGACAAGTCATCATGTAACTTCTCCGAGGCTCGTTTTCCTCATCCTTCATAGGCTAATGCCTGAGTGGATTTCTGAAAGGGTTAAGTGCTCAGTGTACAGTGAGTGCTAGGTAAATAGCATCACCTTCAGGGAGGCAGTATTAGCTCATGGACTTTGGAGTCTGGTCATCTGGGTCCCAGTGCCCCTTGTATCACTGTCTAGCAGTGTGGTCCGGGGACTGTGGGTGGGATTAATACCTGATCCTTAGACTCTGCAGCTCTAGCAGGGTAGGTGGTTACAATCACACTAGTTCATAGTGTTGGGTAGAAACCAACAGGCTCCGGAGAGGCGAAGTGTTAAGAGCTGTGTCTGGCACACCATGGACGGCTCGATTGTAGGATCTCTGCGGGGCATTTTATACTACAGAGCCATTCCTACCACAGCATCTATTTGACCTTTACCAGGTCAAGCATGGAATTGAAGATGCATGTGTTGTTTTGCCAGACAAACCTAGCTGTGAGTTCCAGAGCTGACAGACAGCAGAGGAAGGATGAAAGGTCAGATCTGCAGACTCCAGGTTGCAGGTGGGAAGATGGGCTGCAGGGGGGATGAGCCCTTGCTACACCCTCAGGTGGAAATGAAGACATAGGTTGGGTTGTAGTCTACATGGAGAGTGGGGGCAGGGAGCGGGTCCTGGAAAGTATGGTGTAAGCTCCTCAAAGCTGCATCTTCACACACGCATAGGGTGGGACTATGTGGGTGTATCTAAATGAGATTGGAAGGCACACAGTACAGGCAAAATCCCAGGGCAGGGTCTTATAACCAAGTGTCAAGAACAGGGTGCAGGTGAAAGGCCAGCAGGGAGGATAGGATTTCTTTCTGCCACACAAGGTATCACAACAGCTTCCTTGGGATGACAGTGAATATCCAAGCGAGAGCTTGGGACATAGCCATTCTTTCAGTAAGTAGAGGCTCTGGCCAGAGTCATAGGCACCATTATGCCCTTGAAGGTGCCAGCCCAAGCCTTCCTTGGAAAGGACGGGAGTATTGTGGAATATTAGTTTAAGACATGTTGCATTCATTTATGCTGTGGAATGTTTGTTCAATAATGCAAAATTGTGTTGCATGTTTTCATGTTGCATTTGCTTAATTCTGTAAAGCTATGTTACTTTGTCTGCCTAAAACACCTGGCTGGTCTGATAAAGAGCTAACTGGCCAATAGCTGGGCAGAGAAAAGATAGGCAGGGCTGGCAGAAAGAGAGAATAAATAAAAGAAATCTAGGCTTGAGAGAGAGGAGCGAGCAAAGGAGGAGAGGAGGACACCAGGGCCAGCCATCCAGCCACAGAGTAAGAAGGAAAGAAAGATATAGAGAATAAAGAAATGTAAAAAGTCCAGAGGCAAAATGTAGTTAAATAAAAATGGGATAATTTAAAAAATGGGATAATTTAAATTAGAAAATCTGGCTAGAAACAAGCCAAGCTAAGGCTGGCCATTCAGAAGTAAGAACAAGTCTTTGTGTATTTATCTGGGAGCTGAGTGGTTGGCTCCCAAAGAACAACAACAACAACAAAAAAACAGCAAAAAGCAAAAACAAACAAACAAAAAACCAAAAAAATTAAAAAACAAACAAACAAGAAACAAAAGGAAAAAGCCAACTCCACAGGAGGGAGAGAGCAAGTTGATCTCCATTCCCCTATACCAGCCCAGACCTTACCATGGACAGCTCTACTTCAGCAGATCAACTAAAGTCTCCTATGGGCTCACATTTTTGAACCCTTGTTCCCTGGAACTTGGCTGGTGGAAGCAGGTCACACGGTCAGAAGGGTTTTGAAAGATGTGCCTGTCCCTGGTCCCCACCCTTGCTGGCCTGTTGAGATGTCAACAGCCTATGTTCGCTGTCATGGACTGGAATCCCTCCAAAACCATGAGCCAAAAATAAACCCCTTTACCCTGAAGTTGATTCTGTCAAGTCTGTTGTCATAACAACAAGAAAAATGGCTGATGTGCCACCTACACTGAGTCCCCAGGAGCCAGCGCTGGGACACAGACAAGAAAGGTTTGAATTAATTCAAGGCACTGACTGCTAAGCATCAAATCCAAAAAAAAAAAAAGTCCATGGTTTGAAGGTTGCTTGAAGGTCACATGGTTTGGTTTAGCTCCATCCATTGGGGAGCAGTGGACAATGGAAGTAGAAATAGCTCTGTCCAAGGTGTGGAGGACCCTGGAGCCTCCCAAGGGCAACTGTGTGCAGGGTGTGGCTCTTGCTCATACTTTAGTATTGGGGTGTGAGTGGACCCAACGTCCTCAGGACCAAGCCTTCTCAGGAGAGCTGAATGGGCACATTTACCTGCTCCATAATCCTTTGTTGAAAGGCTCAAATAAATCATGCATCTCGACAAGCATTTGGCCTGTGGGAAAAATCCATCTGGGCTCTTGAATTCTCATTTCCAATGATCCTCAGGAAGTTATTGGGAAAATCAAAACAATGTGTTTCCAAGTGCTGCTCAAGACTCACCAAGTTCAAACACTTGCCATAAATCTAGAATGCAAAAGGTGTTTTTCAAAAGTTTACTGTTCCCCAACTGACAATAATGCCATATTGACCGACTTCAGGGGTGCCCTGGGAATTTGGGGGAAAAAAAACAGCCAAGCAAGCAAGCTATTTAGCTGAAATTTAAAAATAAAAAGAAGAAGCAGAAAGTTTGTGAACTTGACAGTGCTGTGAAAGTTTGCAGTGTTTTTCCGTTCTGACAGCTCTTTTGCAGGTCTCTGTGCAATGACACGGAGTGTTGGGTAGCAACACCCACTCCTTACAGCTATGGCCTCCGGCTCCAGCATCTCTGCCCCCATCTGTCCTCCATGCAGCTGCCAGGGCCATCTTTCCAGAACCCAGATCAAATATTACAGCTCAAAGACCACTGCACCTTCTGTAGTGTCCTCCAAAGACACAGTGGTGGTCGTCAGACTTGTGCAAAATGTCTCTCCCTACCAGTGCCAGGAAAGAATATTCTGGAAATTAAGATCTGAGGATTATGGTAGATAGAGTTTTGCAATCATTCATGCAACAAGCATGTATTGGGTACCTACTGTATACCAGATCCTAAAGATTCAGCAATGGCAAAAACGTAAATAAATAAAATAGTTGCCTTCCTAGGGAAGAAGGCTAACAGAACCATCTGTAAGGAAGATACATCACTCGTCAGCCAGCTGTGTGTGCAGCTTCTGTTGCTGGATGATGATGGCAATACCAGGTTAGCCTGGGCCAGAGTTATGGAGCAAGAAGCAATCTGTCTCCCCCATCGTTGGCACCCACAGTGCCCCACCCAGTCACAGCTGTCCTGGAAGTGGAAAGGGTATCTTATGATATGGGCTTTAAATGCCCTTGTCCCCTCCATTTAACTCAGTACAGCTTCACCACAGCGAGACAAGACAGCCATGAGCTCTTGGCCTCCAGCTTTACCTAAAGCTGACTTACACCTCGACACAGTAAAAATCTTCCAAAGAATGGGGATCTGTCCCCTAGAGAAGTAAAGGGCAGCGAAATCATAAGTATTCCTGTGGTAGCTGGGCTGGGGAGCTTGACCGAGCGTGAGCGCTGTGGGCTTGGAGAGGAGGATCTGTGTGGGGACCTAGAACCTTCACTTCAACCTGATGGAGCTGGCAGAGGGGATGAGGGCCCAAGTGACAGAATTGACATTGAGGAGCAGGTCTTCCCGGGAGAAGGTTACTATGGGAGGCTCAGAACCTGGCTCAGAACCCACTCACGCTGTATGCTAACTGTGTGCTCGGGCCTCCGTTTCCTACCCGAGTGTTCCCAAGAACACTCCTGGATGCTGTGGCAGAGAGAAGCTGCAAGTGGCGAAGGGGTTAAGACAGCGGGGTTTCTACTGTAGCCCCAGTGCGGGCCTCAGGAGCGTGGGTCTGTTATGCTGGCACAGAGTCGCCAATACACGGACTTTCATGGGTGTCCTTCAGTCATTCAGTGTTTGTCACCTCCTCTTTGTGTCTCTCTCTGTCTCCCTGTCCCAGTCACATTCACTTCCTTTTGTGTCTCTACAAAACTCTGTCTGTTTTTAGTACTGGCATGTGGGGGTGCTTGAATAGAGGGCTTCATATATTGTGGGTGAGGGTTGAGTGTGTTGTGAGGGGTGTTTGAGTGTGTAAGGAGTCGAGTGTGTTGTGGGAGGTGTTTGAGTGTGTAAGGAGTCGAGTGTGTTGTGGGAGGTGTTTGAATGTGTAAGGGGTTGAGTGTGTTGTGCGGGTGTTTGAGTGTGCAAACAGTTGAGTGTGTTGTGGGGGATGTTTGAGTGTGTAAAGAGTTGAGTATGTTGTGTGACTGTTTGAGTGTGGAAACAGTTGAGTGTGTTGTGGGGGTGTTTGAGTGTATGGCGGTTGCATGGATGCTTCTGTGTATTGTGTGTGTCTTTCTATGGCTGTGACTCTGTGTCTAAGTCTTCTTGTCTTTCAATGTTTGTTTCTGCCCTGGCGTTCTCTGTCTTCCTCTTATCCTTCTCCCTGTCTCTGTTTCTTTGTGTCTCCCTCACTGTCCCGCTTTTCCTTTCTCATGCCCCAGAGTCAGGAGTGACCTGCTGACTCTCTCAGTTCGTTATAAGGAAAACACTGTAACAGTCGCTCCTTGCTCTTGCGAGGAGCCTGACAGCTGGAGCAAACAATGAAAAATTCAGAATTAATTGGACGCTGATTATTTGCCAGGGGGGGAATGCTGATATATATACACACATATATGAAACAAAAGCCAACCTAGCAACGGTGACTACCGCTGCGCATAGCAACAAAGCAGTTCTAACGAAGCGTGACAATGGCAGCCTGGAGCTGACAGCGGCTAGTGCACACTGAGAAGAAGGAAAACAAATGCTCGGGCTGCTCAGGAGCCAAGGCAGCTCTTGTGGGTACACTTCCCATCCTCATAGCTCAGCCACCGTCTCCTGGAAAGGGCCCAGAGATGGAAACTTCACGCCCCACGCAAGGATCCTCCATTCATTCATTCTCCATGGGAACAACTGGAAACACTAACCTAGGATAAAGGAAGCAGACACAAGCCAGATTCTATCCCCATGATCAAATAACAGTCAGCTGGACTGGAGGAGAGAGAAAACAGATAGGGGGCTACAATACCTTCACAGAGTCATAGCATCAGCATCCACAGGGCCCAGAAGAGGGGGCAGCATCTTCTGTCAGAAAAGTGGGTAAAACTGGTGAAAGGAAGATGGAAGGACAGGCCTGATAGCTGAAAGGAGAAGCACGCATGAGAGAAGACAGGACCAACGGGGCCAGAGGACCAAGGACCTAGCTCCAGATGAACCCTTGGGAGGTGAGTATTCACAGTATGACCCAGTAGGACCAACGGGTCCAGAGGACCAAGGACCTGGCTCCAGATGAATCCTCGGGAGGTGAGTATTCACTGTATGACCCAGTAGTTCTCTTTGGTTGGCACCAAGGAGAGATAAACATGAGGCTTCAAAGAGTAGCCATCCCCAACACTGTCCATATTAGCAGAGACTAGAGGCACCCAATGTTTGTGGATTGATGAATGGATGAACAAAATCTATGCGCCCATGCACCCATGGAATAAAATATTATTTGACCATAAAATGAATGATGTAAGGCTGCAGTTTAAAAGAAACATGAATGAACCATGCAAACATTATGGTCAGTGAAAACAAGAAGTCCTAATACCACATCATGTGATCCTGTCCACATGAAATGCCCAGAACACAAAGTCTCCAAGGACAGGAAGATTAGGGAAGGAGTAATGAGAAAGATGAAAATGAAAAATGTCTTGGAAGTCAATAGAGGTGGTGGGCAATGGCTACACACAGTGGGAGAGTATGAGATGCCCTCAAGTCATGGGCTTTAAATTTTTACTCCAATAAGAGAAAATAAAAATAAAGGAGGCACAGGATGGGAGATGGTGGGAGATCCAGCTGCTGAGGTCACGAGTGGGATCCTTGTGCCTCTTCACTGGGTGTTCAGAAGGCTGTGGTATGTCCCATCACCGCAGCACATTCCAGCATCCATCCCAGAGCTGTCTGTTTCCACCAGGGCCCTTCCCAGGGCTGAGCTTTAAGAACCCGCTTTAATTAGCTCCATCTCGGCATGCGGTGTTGGGCGTAATCTCTACCTCAGCTGGCTCCTTCCATTTGCTTTTCGCCTCTTGACTTCCAGAAACTCTGCCAGTCACAGTGCAGTTCTGATTAGAGGTTCGTAAAAAGGAAGTCAGGCTTTCAGAAGCTCAGAGCCTGTCCCCTGGAGAGCAGAATGAAGGCCGCCGTGTGGGTGCTGGCTTGACCGATCTGACAGTTCAGCGTGCCTCCCTCTGCATACCTCAATAAAGTCCTAAGCCATACATGCCCCTTCCTGACTTTGACTGTGACCATGAAGGAATTGGCATAAGATACACTAGAATCAAGACTGGAAAGCCCTAGAAACCCAGACATCTGAATAGAGAGACCAGGCAGGTGGGCAGTCGCCTAGGACAAAGAGGTGATGATGGAGGACACTGGAGTACAGAGAGGGGGGTCTCTGGGGTGCAAGGGAAGCTGATCATTGTCCAGATGAACCCCATATATCAGCATCTGCATCATCTATGTATCTGATCCACCACGGCTTTGTCATTTCACATACACACCACCATTTATTCAGGCAGGCAGTTACGTCTTGCCCAGTATCTGCTCTGTGCTGCTAACTGTGCCTTCACTCAGCAGAGCACAATGAGGGAAGATCAAAACAGAAATAGACTAAGATCATGTGACAAGCAGCTTCCAGGTACCCAGAGGAACCAAAACATGCAAAGAATTTGAGATCAGACCAAACTTAAAAGGCCTGGAGCTTTAAAAGAACTGGATGCTGACTTCAGACTGAAGATGGGGCCCTGAGAAGGGGCCACAGCCACAGGGAACACGGCGTGGCAAAAGACCCCGATGGGAACCTTGCACAAGTCTCAAGTGTACCTGCAATGAGCCTCCGATTGTGCATCCACTAGCAGGATGGGGTGGGGCACTTTTAGATTCCTGCTTCCTGGGCCCGGGACTGATTCTGAACACTTTGCAGGAGCTGAATCTGCAGTGGAATAAAGGCTGAGCCCCAGACGAGAGGATACGGACTGAGGCTAAGGGGTCTACCCTCCACCTGTCCTTAGACAGGCAGCAGCTTCATCCTATAATACAGAGACAGTCAGGGACCAAAAGTGGGTCTGGAAGTTTTTTTGTGTTTTAGCTGTGTGCATCAGAGATAAGACAGGTCAATGCCTCAATTTGCTTAACAGTTAAGTCTAAAACCAGTGTGGGCTGCAGTAGGATGCTGCTGTTTTAAATGTGTTATGACCTTGCTATCCAAAGGATAGCATTCTTCCAGAAGTGATGGGGTGCTCAGGAGAAGAAGGGCCATTCCCTGACTTATAATGCACCCCAAGTTATGTCCAGAGTTCCCAGTCACCGGCTACAACGTTTTAGAGAAAGGCACTGCAACAAGCTTCACACCTCCATGCTCGTTGTGTCCTTGATACAGACGATGACTTGGAAGAACTGAGCTGCCCTGGAGCCCTCCCCACAGACCTCTCCTAGGTCTTGGGTTGCCCTCAAGACCCCAGGGGAGGGAAACAGAATGATAACGGACAATGAAAGTTCCTACTTGGTTATGTCGCTTGTCTTGAGTCATTTGGTTACTGGCTCAACTAGAGGGACACACAGATCTCCAAAGTCTACTCTCACTGTTGTGGTCTCTGTATCATGCCATCCCCAGGGGAGAGGGTGACAACATAGAGGCTAGACTACACAGGACTTCAGTTACCAGCAGGGAGTGCTAGAGAGCTGAGCGAGGATGGGATGGCTGCACCTACTGCTTGAGTTGAGTGGACCCTGCTTCTGCTCAACTGAGGCTCCTAACTAGGAGTCCGGTGGGATGAGGCACTCTCTGTTCCAGATTTGGTCAAGCCAGCCGCCTCCATCTGGAAAGCTCTCTGGGAGCTGGAGAGATGACTCAGGGTTTAAGAACACATAAAGCTCTTGCAGAGCATTTGAGTTCAGTTCCTAGCACCCACTTCCAAAAGCTCACAACTGCCTTTAACTTCAGCTCCGGGAGTGCAATGGCCTACTCTGGCCTCAATCCATACACACACCCTGGGAGGAAGGGAGGGAGGGAGAGAGGGAGGGAAAGAGGGAGGGAGAGAGAGAGAGAGGGAGGGAGGGAGGGAGGGAAGAAGAGAAGGAAGGAAGGAAGGAAGGAAGAAGGAAGAAGGAAGAAGGAAGAAGGAAGAAGGAAGAAGGAAGAAGGAAGAAGGAAGAAGGAAGGAAGCTCGCTCTCTGGTGATGAATTCAGTAGAGTCAGAGATTTTTCTATCAGAAATTCTTTTTTTTTTTTACTTTTTCAAGAATATTTGATGCAACTTGAAATAAGTGAAATCAGTCTCAAAATAGAAATACGATGTTTTCCCTCATCCGAGGGTCCTAGATTTTATGGATTCATAAAATCACATATGTATGGATAATGGAAAGAGCCAAATTGTCTAGGGGGACAAAGGGGATTAATGGGAGGATGTGGGGAGGAGGAGCAGGAATGCACTCAAAATATATTACACATTTGCATGAAAATGGCCTTCTGTAACACAGTGTATTAAAATGTAAAGTCTTGAGTTTTTTTGATGACCCTTGTGTGTCTTCCAGGTACATGGTGAGCATCTAGTGCCCATTTGTAACTCACTCAGTGTGTGGCCATTGCATCTAGGTGTGAGACTGAACACTGGCTGCTGCACTCTTGCCCTCTCTGGCCCACCAGCCAGCTAAGAGCTCCTCCCTTCTCCTATAGTTCCCACAGGGCAGAGAATCACTGGAACCATACAGGTCACTGCCTATTCATAGCCACTGTAGGGGTTGAGCCTTAAGACGCACTTGGAAGTAGAAAGAGGTACTTCCCTTACCACTATACTGAAAGAAGAGCCTGCATTCATGTGCCCAGGAGAAACAGTTACTGATGCGGATGAACCATTAGATGTGTGTAATATGCAAGGGGTCAGGAGCCTGGTATTGCCCAGGCATCAATTATCCCAGCATGATTTGAAAATAGCCTCTTGAGCTATTCCCCAGGAGTGGGGTCTGATGCCATCATAGAACAAGGACGAGAACCCTAAGAGAGAAGAGAACTCACCAAACCCTTGTGCTTCTTTAAACAAACCCCCATTTCCCAGACAAGCCACCACAATGTTCCCCACAAGCCAGGGGACCAGCCGTTGCCACACATGCTGCTGGTCAAGGGGAGAAGAAGAAGATGATGTTACAATTCAGGGTGTCTCGGGGAAACTATAGTAAAGGTCACTGTGGAATGAATTAGGGAGATTAAAAGAATTTCCAGGTCTCCAGAGCTCGCACCTGCTCCTCGGCCTCCCGGCTTTCTCTTTAATCATCAGTCTATAATTCTGGAACATAAAATTACAAGTTCATTGATAATGATGGGTGATTTACTGAAGGAAGCCCAGCCCTAATTAAGAGCAAAAGAAGCTGACACTGCTTTTCAACATCCCACTGAAGTCCAGCAAGGAAATTACCTGGTTCTGCAGAGCAAATAACACTGGCGGGCATACAGTGGTCCAGGTTACCTCAGGAGTGTGCGCTTGGCCATATTAATATGCAGAGCGAGTTGCTTCGAGTGTTAGCAATTTACTAGTAATTGGGAAATTGACAGACACCTTGGAGAGTGGCCGAGCTGGTGCCTGAGCACAGAACTGCATTATCTGTTCTTGGAAGAAGAAGACATGCAGGCAAAAGCTATGGCCAGCTCTCAGTAGCTGCCTAGGGTGAAACATCAAGGGTCAGGCTGTAGCTAAGTTCTCAGTCTTTGACAAGAGTTGACAAGAGTCAAAGATCAGATCTGAATCAGTGTTCAGTCTGTGGTCTGTGAGAGGTGAGTCCCAGCCTGGGGTGAGGGACCCAAACTCAGTCTCCATTAGAGAATCAAGAGTCAAGCTGAGTCTCCATCAGGGATCCAGGCTCAGACTGAGTTCCCTGCCTCCCTCTCATGGCACAAAGCAGTCTTTTGTGTCTCTCGCCTTCTTTACTTCTTTTCTCTGATTATGGATCATAATCAGCCCCGGACTGTGCAAAGGTGCCTCTTCAGGAACTTTTGATAGAGGCTTTACCTGCTCGTGAGCTGTGCTGTCCCCAGAACACGCTGTGTCTCCCTAGGAGTCATGGCCAGAGAACAGTAGAGGGCAGGGTGTGTTGTGTAGATCCCACTAACAAGTGACACAGTCCATTGCCCTCCAACATGGCGCTGTGAATCCTGTCAGAGCATCCACTGGATCATGTCAAAGCGTCAGCATGAGTGACAGGTTCTTCTGATGCCACCCCAGGGTGATCTTCTAAGGAACAAGCCCTTGGTACCCAAAGTGGACAAAGAACTATGAGTAGAGTTGACCCTGCTCCAGTGCTTTCAACCCATGTTTCCTGGTGGCTCCGTCTAGGGCGTTCCAGCCTGGAAGTGAGCAGGCTACAACACCCATGAAGCAGCCCTGCAGGGTGACTGGCCATCCTGCTTGCCTGGGACAAAGAGCCTACAGGGATGAGACTTTTTTTTTCTTTTTGCAAACTGGGAAGGCTCTGCAACAGAGCCCCTGGAACCTTAGCTCACATTGTTCTGTGAACCATGTCCTGAACCCCCTCCTGCAGCCACCAAAGCTTCAGACTGGGACAGAGTTGTCAGGTGTGCCAGTTTCCAGGTGTGTTTGCAGGCAGATGTTTCTGCATCCGGATGGGATTAAAGATGTTCCTAGGTTTGTTTTGATTTGGAAATATATTGACTTTAGCAATCAGAGCTCAGCAATAGCCCTGAGAGCGGAGGTCTTTTGCCAGGAGGCTGGCTTTTGCTCTCTGGTAACAGTAAACAACAGCGGTGCCATTATTTTAAAAGCAGTTAACATGTATGGAAAGGTTGTTACCTGCCGGGTGTGTGGTTAGTTCCTGCATTCAAAGTTACTGGCAATTCTCAGGCTGAATGAGAGAAGCACTGTTATCAGCCCCAGCTACAAATGAAGAAATAAAGGTGAGAGAGGTGAAGTCACTCACTAAAGCCAAAGAATGTAGAGGTGTATGACTATATAGAGAGTTCCCAGTGTCCCCAGGTGGCATGTACTGCCTCTATGTGTGACAGAGGACATGACCCAGTTTTGGCTTAAGTCAGCCTGTAATTTCATCAAATGGGGCTAACTTCAAGATTCTAGGCATCTATTCATAATGAGGATGGAGGAGCTTTGCACAAATAAAAACTTGAGCTCTGCTAGGGTACTGCTCAGAAAGCCCTTTCTTGTGCCTGTAAGTTTAACCAAATCCCACTTTGTCCTCTATCGGGTTCAGGGTGTCAGGTCTCATGGTAAGCTTCTTGACCATTTGGCATGAAGCCCACCAACTAACAAATGCAACCACATAAACCTAAAACTTCCTTAGAGCAAAGCACACTGTCCTTCAAGAGAAGAGGTGGATTACAGAATAGGAAAAGGCTTTGCCAGCTACACTTTAAACAGAGGGTGAGTATCTAAAATATACAAAGAGCTCAAAGAAAACTAAACATCAAGAAAACAAAAACGCGATGGGAAAATAGGCCATGGAACTAAATGGAGGGTTCTCAAAAAAATGAGATATAAATAGCAGAGAAATATTTCTTTAAAATTGTTCAGTATCCTTAGCAATCAGAGAAATGCAAAGTAAAAATATTTTGAGTTTTCATCTTATCCCAAGTCAGAATGACTAGGATTTAAAAAAAATGATGGAAAAGTCTGTCCTGGGTGTGGAGGGAAATGGACACTTGTTTGTCGCTGGTGGGAGTGCACGCTAGTGCAGCCACTTTGGGAATGAGTGTGGATGTTCCTCACAAAGCTAGACATAGATCTTCCGCTGTTGGGGAAAATCAAAGACGCTCCCCTACCTGCAGAGACTCCTTCTAATTCAAGTTCATTGCTGCTCCATGCACAATTGTCAAGAGATGGAAACAGACTAGATGTCTGTCAGTGAGTGAATATATTATAAAAAATGATACATTTATCCAATGGGATATTGCTCAGAGAAAGACAAATATCACATTTTTTCTCACTCATTAGTGCTGCATTTGAATCTTCAAATCTGTGTGTCTCATTTGGAATAACCATAGAGGTCAGGAAATTAGTAATAAGCCATGGACATTGGAGTCTGCCAAGGGAGGGAAGGTAGAATACAGTGATAGAAAGGGGAAAGGGGGATAATAGAGCAGGAAGGGTTAAATGGAGTGGGGTTGGGGGAGTAAAGGAGGGGTAGCTACCGCTAAAGGCCTTCTGGTAAAGTCATATTTAAACTGCTGCTGTAGAATCTTCCTGAAACATGAGCATATCTGAATGCTAAAAGAGTCTATGTAGAGTTATTCTATAGTAGGACAACTTGTGATTCTGCACAACTCTGCCACCCTTGTGGACTAAGCAATTATGAGATTCTTGGTATTCCTGTCATAGACATTGTTGGACTACCTGGACCACAACCTGCTAGCCATTCTAATAAATCGAGTTTGTAATCATCCTATGCATTCTGTTCCTTTAGAGATATTGTCTTAGTTAGGGTTTCTATTGCTGCAATGAAACACTATGACCAAAAAGCAAGTTGGGGAGGAAAGTATTAATTTACCTTAAACTTCTACATGGTTGTTCATCACCAGAAAGAGTCAGCTCAGGAATTCAAACAGAGCAGGATCCTGGAGGCAGAAGCTGATGCAGAGACCATGGGGCAGGGGAGCTGCTTACTGGCTTGCTTTCCCTGGCTTGCTCAGTCCACCTTCTTACAGAACCCAGAGCCAGTAGCCCAGGTATGGCACCACATACCATGGCCCGTCCCTCTGGCACTGATCACTAATTGAGACAATGCCTTACAGCTGGACCCCGTGGAGGCATTCCCTCAGCTGAAGTTTCTTCTTCTCTGAAGACTCTAGCTCGTATCAAGTTGGCACACAAACCCAGCCAGTGCAGACTCCTAACTAACATAAATGGTAAAACATTACTGCTGCAGACACCTAGTACCTGAGTTACAGAACATAAAGAAATTACTGACCTGAAAGCTTCATTCCTACTAATTGACTTTGATAGTGCTAAAAGGTGCCATGCCTGCTACCAGAGGAGGAAAGTCATCATTAAACTTACTCAGTTGTGAACGTGTGAGCTACAGTGATAACTGGCCTGGCGAAGCATGTCCACTGGTGCAAAAGTGGCACAAATGTTGTGGGAGTAACTAATCACTTTCTTGTGGGTTTAAGAGCCAGTCCACAAGATAAAACTCATACCAGACTTCTCACTATGTCCATAGATTAATGTATCCCTCCAACCTCATCAGAGGAGCTTCTTCTTTCAGTAGATGGTGATGTACACAGAGACTCACACTGATCAAGGGGAAGCGAATAAATGACTTCAGAGAGCACAGCCCTGAATGGAACGTCTATGCCGTACCCTACCTCCTATATCTACCTCCTCCCACAGAGTCCAAGGATCACTGTGGATAAGACGATGAAAGATTGTAAGAGAGATGGTGGGCAACTCTAAAAAAACGACATGTGGGTACAATGGGACAGTTCCACACCCACACAGATGTTTTTGACAGCATGCACAAGACTGGTGCCGGATCAAACCAGACAAAAGCCCAGCATGAAGACAGGAAGAGGACAGAAAATCCCACCTCTAACTGAGGAGCAACTGGTAAGTGCTTGCCACTGAGAGAGAGAGGTAATTTTTTTAAGGGTGTGATTCCTCGTCAGTCTAACATGCTCCAGTAAATGCACACACAACCAAAAGTATATAGGAAGCATTTATGAAACTCAATGTTTTGTTCTTATTTTTTATTTTATTTTTTTTTAATGAGAATGCACCTGGAGATATGGCTTAGTGGTTACAAGCCTGTCATACTCTTGCAGAGGATCTTAGTTCAGATCCCAACACCTATGTCAGGTAGCTCACGATTTCCTGTAACTCAAACTCCAGGGAACTTCCTTGGTGTCAGAGGTTGTGCGCACCCTTGTACCCTCTTGATCCCTCCTGCCCATGGCTTTGTCTTCTGTAGCTTCTGAGGACTCGATGCCCTTGTGCTGCCCTCAGACATGTAGGAGGAGCTGTAAGGCAAGTACTAGGCCTCCTCATCCCTCTGTTGACAAATTTAAGAGTGTTCTATGGGGTCTCCTGGAGCTCCCAGGAGGACACGGCTGTTGCCACTTGGAAACTCTCGAGGTATCACACTTGGTTTGCCCCCCCCCCCCGCTCTACTCCATCTCCCTTCCTCCACTCTACCTGAGATCACTCCTACCAGGTACACAACTCGGGTATGTGTTTCAGCATCTCCTTCTGACAGAGTGCTAAACATAATAATGTTTGTGGGAAAAATTTGGAAAATATTTTTTAAATAATCAATTTCACTTAACAAGCCTTGTAGTGACTACCTTTTATATGCGACGTACTCTGCTAAACTTGGAAATGAAAAGCAAAGACAGTTTCTGATGTCATAAAGTTTAAAACCACCCACATCTTGTGAACTAGAACAACCTTTGTTACATATGTGTGTGTGTGTGTGTGTGTGTGTGTGTGTGTGAGTGTGTAGTCAAATAATTTGAATCGGTATTTCATTGGGTTGCAAGCATTTTCTTGTGTCTCTAAATTGCCCTTCCAAATGTGAGTTTTAATGATGCTGGATGTGTGTCCCCCTACGCACCACCATTATTTTACCATTTCCCTACGGTTCTCAGTGTTTCATGATTACAGATAATGCCATGATAAGCCTTAATAAAGTCCTAGCTATGCTGTGATGCAATAGTGTGAACATTCCAGAAAAGCTGCCCTGCTGTTCCTGCAGAGGCTGATTAAAGGAAGATAAAGGCAGGGAGACAGAGTGAGCCAATAGGAACAATCCAAGTCATCGAGGGTGAACCCCAAGTCAGGACTGACTGGAGGTAAAGACTCCCCTGCCTTCACTTCACCTCTTGTTACAGGCTTAGGCTCTGGTTCTTTCAGCCATGTTGTATTCCTTTGTCTCCCCTGCTTAGCTGTCAGCCCCATCAAGGAAACACTGTCCCATTCCTCCAGATTCTCTGTGAGACATGGTACATGTTTAGACACCTATTAATAAGATGTCCTCCCTCCATTAATAGAACTAATTGAGGGGACACAATGCTTCCTGAACCAATCAATAGAATTCAGAAGCAGTAGCAAGCCACCCAGGAGGGTGATGTATGATTAGCAATCCATCCCTAGAACCTCATGTGTGGATGGAGCTGATCATGTCAGAAGGAATGGACTTACTCTTTCAGTGAGCCCAAGGCATCTCCACTCTGTCTATAGGCACTCAGCATGTCCAGAGTCCTGGCCCAGAAGTGGCTCTGGGTGGACCACATTAGCAATATGGAGAGTGGGGAGTATCTCCAAACTGTCTCCAGACTGGCGAGAGAGGTCCCAGGCAGGAGCAGAGATTACAGAACATTTTTTCATGGACTCTTGGGGAAGGAAGGGAAGGCAGCCTTGAGCAGAAGATGAGAATGTAAAACCCAGACTGAAGAGAGATGGCCCTCAGACATAAAGGGATTTTGTCAAGAGTTGTAGTGGCAGCTGAGTCACCTCCCAGAGCAGCAACAAACCTCTGGCACCAGCTCTGCCCCAGGCCCTGTGTTGCTGCTAGAGACGGCGGAGAGCAAGACCATGACCTGTGCTCTCCCATTTTACTGTGGTCTCCACTTTCTGAGTATGAAAACTGAGGCTCTGGTTAAGTTAACCTGCCAAGTACCCAACAGTCTTCTCTACCTCCTACTAAAATACTGGCTCTCAACTGGTATTTGTGGGTCTGTATTGTTGTTGGTTTGGGAAACACTGAGCAATTTCAGTTGTCATTTTTGTCCATCACAGCTGGGGAAAGGGTATATTCCTGAAGTCTAGTGGAAGCAAGACGAAGAACATGGCCAGCTGCTTACGGCATGTGACAATCGTTCACTACAGAAAATTATCAGTCAAGATGTTGAGAGCAGGCCTGGAGAGAGGGCTCAGCGGTTAATAGCGCTCGTTGCTCTTGCAGAGGACCCAGGTTTGGTTCCCAGCAGCCATAACATGTAGATCACAAACACCTGTAACTCCAGTCCCAGCGAATCCAACGTTCTCTTCTGCCCTTGGAAGGCACCTGCACATCCATGATAAACACTGAATACACACAGGCACACACATGCACATGAAATAAACTTAAAATTTTTTTTTTAATTTTGGTAGTATGGAGGCTCACAAACCCTAGACTAGTGTACCCTAAACACCTACACATACGGGTTCAGCTCCCATCCTGCCACTCTAAGAGTTTACCTGAATTAACAGCCCGTCTGATTGGGGAAATCCATCTCTAAGCCATTGGATTTGGCTAAGACCAAAGGAGGCCAGCTATGCCCCAAGGTGTGGGTGATCCTGCAGCTAAAGCAGGAGCCTAAAGATACACAGGAGCAGAGGGGATGTGGGCCCAGAAGGAATAGGAGACAGTGGGGAGAACCGTCTAAGAACGACTCTCCCTCCTCTGAAGCTCCATCAGCTCCTGCAGAGATGCAGAACACAAACAGCTCCTCCAGCCGCTCGCCCTCCCCCAGGACAGTGCTGAACTAATATTTGCTTTAGCAAATGGCTGAGCTGTTCATCTCCTCTGGTGACTGGGAATTGTTTTCCTCTCAGGAAATCACCGGGGTTCTAAATTTGAGATGCTGACATCTGGAGGGTCAGAGTCTCCTTTAAGGCCCAATGCACAGGGAAACATGGCCTAAGATGATGGGGCAGGGGCGGTAGCAAACATCAACAAAATTGCCCGAGATCCTACTGTATGCTAGCTGTTGTATGGGTTACTGCATTCAGAGGATCCCTGAAAGGAAGGGACTGATTCATTTGTTCCCTGTCTTCAGGAAGCTTGTCCAAGGTCAAACTCCTGAGGTGTGTTGAAGGGATTTGAATACTATCAGAGTCCAATTCCAAGGTTCCCACATGTACAAGTTAGGTCTGTACTAGCACAGCTGGCTGGGCATGTGCCTCTGGTGTCCCTGTGATGAGACTGAGACAAATCCAACTGGCCACTGTAGGGAATGGTGGCACACTCTTGTAATGCTGACTCTCAGGAGTCAGAGGCAGGAGGAGCTGAAGTCACTTGGAACTCTGCAGTCATGGATCCTATCTCTATCCTAAAAGTCAAAAGACTGTTCAAATTGCCCAAAACTGCAAGGATTTATCAGAGCGTGAACTTGAAAGTTCCTCAGGTCAAGTTCCAGGGTTATTTGAAATTGTTGTTCATACTATTAGAGACACCTAGGGCTTTTATTTAATCTCCTCAACTTCTTCAGCCTCAGGTCTCCCTTATGGTGTCAAAATGTCTGCAACAGTTCCAAGTAGGCATTCTCCATCCCACCACCTAAGGAAGAATGTCCAGCCGGCCTTTATAGATCTCTCAGGCCAGGCAGGAGCCTCCCTTCTCCTAAACCTGATCACAGCTCAATGACCCAATTTGAATAACAGGCCATATTAAACCAATGACTTTGCCTAAGGGAAAACCCTACAAAGACTGGATTAAGCCCAGGTTAGCCAAATGTGGCACTATAACAAGGGTTAGGTCAGGAAGCTTATCGTGTAAAAACAACCCCAGAATCAACTCTTGGCTTCAGTAAGGGAACTGGTACCCTAAATCAACACAACTGTTGCACATCATCACTTTACCTGCAAGTAAAGGATGATGGAATGTTGGGAAGGGAACCACTAGGTCTGCCGCAAGCAACAAGCAAGCTCTTTGGTGTAGGACCAGGGGTTGGGCATTGATGCTGTGTGCATAATAATTATAAATCATAGACCAGTGGTTCTCAACCTTCCAAATGTTTCGACCCTTTAATACCGTTTCTCACGTTGTGACGACCCCAACCATAAAATTATTTTCATTGCTACTTCATAGCAGTTTGCTATTTATGTGAATCATAACATAAATATCTGTGCTTTCTGAGGGTCTTAAGTAGCCCCAAGGAGTCACGACCCACAGGTTGAGAACCACTGCTCATAAACTTAAAAAGAAATAGCATCATTGCTCTTCCATAAATGGAGCATCCCTAATTTGAATATCTAAAATCCTAAATGCCTAAACTCTGAAATACTGTGAGCACTAGCCTTGATGACCACAAATGGAGCATTCACAACTAACACCACGTGATTTGTCACACAGGGCACCAAGACATCATGGGCAATCACCACTAAGTGGTACCTATAAGATGTGAATGAAATACAAACAAATTAGATGAATAGGCTTGGCTTCGGGATCTCTCATTATTTATAGCACAAATATTTCCACACCTTAGGGAAATCAAACCCCAACATTCTACCTCCAAGCATTTCAGATAAAGGCTACTCCACCTATGTAAGAAATGCATTAATAAATGGAAGGAAAGGAAAGATTTTCCTTAGAAACAGAACAGGAGATGTCAAAGGCCTTGTGAATAACTCCACAGATATGATTCACCTATGGAGCCGAAATGAGCCTGCAAGCCTGGGGTGCACATAGAACATCTGCCTCCTCCCACGGGCTCTAGGTAGTGTTAGGGGGAAACTAGTCACATCAGAGTGGAGGGACTCGGTGGCCATGGCATACCATTGATTAATGTCCCCAAAGGACAGCTTATCTCATGTGCCTCCCGTAAGAAGTGCTAAAGGGGGCATAATGTCACTTTTTCAGTGGTATTTGTGCCCAAAATGCGTAATTTGAATTAATTGTGAAAAAAGATCAGACTAACACAGCTTGGAAGACAGGCTAGTCAGCTGCCCACTGCATAAACCTGTAATCCAAGATCTCAGGAGGCAGGGGCAGAAGGAGTGCAAGTTCAAATCCAGCTTGAGCCACATAGTGAGACCTTGTCTTATATAACACGGGTGTGCCTTTGAAAGGGCACCAATCCTTACCTTTTTTTCTCCTTTGCTTCTTGGCTCATGAGGTAAGTAACTCCTGCTATATGCTCCCACCAAGACAGGCTGCCTCCACATAGATCCAAAGCAATGGGGCCTGTCAACCATAGACTGGGAGTTCCCAAACGATGAGCCCAAACAAACCTTTCCTCTTTATAAGTTAATTACCTCAGGTGTTTTATCGTAGTGTCAGGAAACTGACTAGTAAAGCAATACTCTCTTAAAGGGTTAGGGCACATAACACAAACCAAGGCTAATTAAAGGAAACCAAGGGGTTTGACAATGAAATGTCACCCAGGATCCTGTACTGGACTCTCGGCCACAGGAAAGGCATTAATGGGACCAGCAGGAAATTCTGGAAAGGTCTATGGTTTAGATAATAGTACTGCATGAATGTTAACTGCTGTTCCTAAAATGGCACTTGCTCATGTCTGACATTAACGTTTAAAAAATCTTAAATGTTGGTTGAAGGGCTTATGGAACTATTTTTTACTGACTCGTAAGGACTGTTTTAAGTCCAGAAGGGTTCCAAAGTTTAAAAAATGCAAAATTTTACATCGAAACTTCCTTTTCCAAGTGTCTAATAGTCGAACTTCAGTTGTTTGTTCTACAGTACGCTGATTTAATGCTCTTCCATCGTGCCCACAGCTTTAACACAGTGTGTAAAGTGCATCCTGGTGATGCTCTGACAAACAGGCACCGTCCCGGAACCCTGACAGCATGACACTCACACTGATTAATTTTCAGCGACGACTGATTGGACCGAGCATCTCCTGGACCATCGGCAAAGCACACACCTGGGTCAGAGGTGTTGAACCATGAAGGGAAGAACCACCCCTAGCATGGAAGACACCGTCCCACACGCTGTGCGTCTAAGGAGGTGAAGAGGGAGAGAAGAACCCCAGCTCGTCCAGAGCTCGCCTCTAGTTCCTGGCTGCCAGGATGTGGGCGACTCTGCCCTACTCCACTGTGCCCTGAGGATGGAAGTGAAGAGGAGGACACGGGGTCATGTGAGAGAGAGGAATAGTGAAAATAACAAGTGTCTCAATCAAGAAAGAAGCAAAACGATGGGGGGGTGAGGGATGGGATTTCTGAAGGATTGCTGAGATTTGGCCTGCCAGACAGTGTTTTCTAAAATGTGATGGGGCAGGGGAGAAAGGAAGACAAAGGGTTTAGAAAAGCAGAAGAAGGGAAAAGGGGTGATGTGGAGGCTAGAGAAAGCTACGGTGTGGGAAGGGAGGACCTGGGAAGAGAACTCAAGAGAAAGGCAGAGAGGGTAGAGTAGGTTCTATTAACCTCACGCAGAAGACAGGAGGCAGCAGAAAGCTGGGAGGGAGGGAGGTGAGGGTGTTGACTCAGATGTCCCAGGCTGTGGGGTTCCTGGTCTGTGAAGCGTATCTCTCAGCAGCAGCAAAGACCAGCACCATCTCTAAGGAGCCTAGTGTAGCACAAGTTCTAATTGGTCTTAATAATAAAAGCCCCGAGTGGGGCTGGAGAGATGGCTCAGAGGTTAAGAGCATTGCCTGCTCTTCCAAAGGTCCTGAGTTCAATTCCCAGCAACCACATGGTGGCTCACAACCATCTGTAATGAGGTCTCGTGCCCTCTTCTGGCCTGTAGGCATACACGCAGACAGAATATTGTATACATAATAAATAAATAAAATAAATAAATAAAAATAAAAGCCCCGAGTCACACATAGGGATAAATGCTGAAAGATCTGAAAGGCAGAGCAGCCAGCCACTAGTTCTTACCTCTACTGAATACTCTGATCCTGTCTGTCTCTATGAAACCTCAGACTGAATCTTGAGCCTGTCTCCTCCCACCTTATATTCCTCTCTCTGACCAATCATATCACTTCTGTCTCCACCTCCATAATGCTGGGATTAAAGGTGTGAGCCACCTGTACTTGGCTCTGTTTCTCTTTTAGACTGATTTAATCTAGTGTAGCCCAGGGTGGCCTTGAACTCACAGAGTTCCACCTGCTTCCTGAGTGCTGGGATTAAAGGTGTGTGCCACCACTGCCTGGCTTCTATGGCTAACTAGTGTAGCTAGCTCCACACTCTGATCTTCAGGCAAGCTTTATTTGTTACAACACAAAATATCCCACACTAGGGTTTGGAACAACCCCCATAAGTGTAGTGATGGCACCTGCAGGTCCTGACAGATTGGTGTGGTGATCCAGCTTCTGTGGAGGGTCTCTCTGCTCCTACAGGAACAGAGGGATGAGGCTCTGCCTTCATTTTCATGACTCCCTTCTGTAACCAACATTTATCCACCCAAATCTGTCTGGCACTTCTCATTTCTAAAAAGAAATGTTATCAGGATTAATTTTATTTTGAGAACTATCTGAGAATTTCCCAGCAGCACTTGGGAGCATCAGTAGAATCCTAGGGGAATTGCATACAGGACTGGGAATCCTTCCGCAGCAGACACAAACCATCTGCTAGCTAAGAACAATGACTTCCTCTGCAACAGGAGTGGTTCAGACCCCCAGGATGTCAGAGAGGCATTGAGTGACCAGATCCCTCTAGAGGTGAGCGCCTGAATGACTGTTCTGGTTCAGCCCTTGGCTGTGGCCAGGCAGAGCCCACACTGCAGTCAGGGCACAAAGTTACAGCTTCCGAGAGGAATCCCTGTCTAGCTTCATATGCTCCCCTCATCCCCGGAGCCTATTCTCTCACCCAGGATCACACCACCTTCCTCTGCTTGCTTCCTTGGATTGCCCAGTCAGTTCCTTCCCTGGGTCCATGCCTCTCTCTGTCACCAACCTCTCACACATGCTGTAGTTTTTGCAAAGCCAAGTAGCCAGTGTGGGAATGAAAACAGGTGCAATCTCCAACAGAAGTTCAAGGTCACGGTGCGTTTGGCTTTGACTCCTGGCACATCAGCTAGAAGGTCTGGACTCCCACAGCACTGTAGCTGATCTGCTCTGTGTGTGGATATGCTGAGGTGGTAAGTGCATTGGAGCCTGGAGCTCATAGATGAGACACACCAGTAAGGCAGCTTAGATTCAGGGCTGACAAAGGGATTCCTGCACATGGATTGGTCTCAAAGGAAACTTGCCCACACCTCCCTAAACCCTTAGCTTCACACAAACACACACAACCTCATCCCACTGGGGTTCTGGAGATGTGGGGTGAAGCCTGGTTGCTCAGGTGATATTCAAAGAGGTAATCCCAGGAAGGTGAATGACAGAACACAGAGGCGTTACAGGACGTCTCAGAAATCAGCAGACTCGGGACAAATAGCTTGAACTCAAGAGTCCAGCAGTTCAAAAGCTTCCAGCAGTCCCTTCCCATGGCAAGGGGTGAACCTCTGATCAAAAGCTGGTGCTACTGCCAAATCCATAGAAATCACACACATGGATGATATGAAAGGAGACACACAAGGTCACACATGGAAAGGAGCTTGTCAGAGACCGGAACACTGGGGCCGAGAGATGGCTCAGCAGTTAAAAAGCCCTGGTGCTTCTTCCAGAGAACCCAGGTTCAGTTCCCAGTACCCACAAGGCTGGCTCACAACCATATATTCCTGGGGATCACAGCTCGAGTTCCAGGGGATCTGACGACCTCTTCTGGGCTCCGCAGGCACTGCATGTGTGTGGTTCACAGACATACATGAAGGCAAAGCACTTGTACACATAAAACAAATCTTAAAAAGTAGAGATTTGAATACCAAAGGGATTCTGTACAAGAATGGAGGGTATACAGTGCCCTTCCCTGATTTGATCACTGCCCTCACTTTCCAGGATTTCAGTTGTCCAGAAATCATAAATGGAATGATCATAAGGTAAACATTGTAAGCTGTCAGTGACTGTGACTCATAGTTTATTGTTATAATTGTTCTGCTTTATTCATGCTTATTGTCTTCTACCATGTTCTGTGTCTAATTGATCAGATTGAGCTTTGTGGGGCTGGGTTTCTGGATCAGTGGAGAGCATCTGTATTACATAGCCAGGTCCTATGCATGATCTGAGGACCTCCAAACAAAACAATAAGCTTTGTTTCAGGCAGGTTTGCACCGGAATAAAGCACAGGATTGTAGGGTCTCATTGAATCCACAACTTCAGACATCCACTGGGCATCCTGGAATCCAACTGCAGGGTTGGGGGTGAGCACTGTAGAAGAGGTCAAATTGGAGAGAGAACCCTAGGCTTGGCTGTCTGTACACAGAGACATGGAAGAACCTGTGAGAGGGATGCTAAGAGGCTGTCTCTAAGTTGGAGCAGCGAATGTGGGGACATCAGTGGGAAGGACAGTGCCCAGAGTTAGTTGGTAGAGCAGGCTGTACACACATGTAGAAGACCTGGTCATCCCCGACATCACAGCCTGGTGGCAATGGCCCACTCATATGCTCTCATTGTTAGCCAAAAATAGCTCTCAATGAGTCTGTGCCCAAGTCTAAGGGGGATCTCGGGTGTCAGGGAGGCATTCAGTCACAGGGAGCATTCACACCACGTCACTAGGTGTGCAGACTTCTACCAATTTGACTTAACCTAGAAGTATAAAGCATGCTTGGGTAGACTGAGGATTCTGAGATCTCTAGGAAGCACCTATGACTTCCAGAATGAACTTTCACTGCTCTTGGTAGAGACACCCAGGCTGAATGTCCTTGAGTTGCTCTGAAATGATCACAGTCGGAAGAGAGAGGACACGAGAAAGACTTTGGGTGCTTTGTCTTCACTCTCTCACCCAGATGCCTGGGGGACTTTCCCCACTCTAACAGAGTCCCATAAATGATCCCTTTCCATCTTCAGACAATTCTTGGCATAGTGTTGGCATCTTGAGGGACCCTCAAATGTGAAAAGAAATCCCGGAGGTGAGCAGACCCCAGCGGGGGAGAAAATGGATTGCATTCTCTAGATATCTGCTCCTGTGAGCGGCAAGCTAAGATCTATACTGCAGATGGGGTTTGTCCCTGAGAAGAGAGCACGCAGAGCGGCTAGGCTGACGTGCAATTCTGAGGCTTGCAGACAGGCGCAGTTCCTGGGAGAGTAAGGCATCCCTTTCATGCTGCTCCCTTGGCTTGTCGCTGCTACCCTCTACCAATGCGGAGAGGAGCGGGGTAAACCCTGAATGCTGCTCCCGTGCTCGCTCGTACTCGCCTGTCTCAGGAGCTCCAGCTTCCAGGCCACAGCAATATTGCAGAGGACCCTTGGAACTGTATATGCCCCAGCACTCTCCGCAACATGCATAATGAATGAAGAGAATGGCGTGCTGACATAGCAACGCACATCGCCGCTTCTAGTGGGCACAGATGTGCAGCTCTTTAACTGCAGAGTGTTTCCGCAATCAATAATTAATACAAATGCTGCTGCTCATACACGGAGTCTAAAACATTTTGTGACACACCAAAAGGCTCCCTCCTATCCCAAACTATCCAGTACTCATCCAGAAAGGTCTCTGTGGATCAAATGACCGTTTTGTTTTAGTAAAGCAGAACTGCAATCATACACGATTGTCTACGCATAAACTCGAGAGGTCTGGGTGAGCCTGGTGGATACAGAGGTAGTAGAGCATGGTTAGAGACTGCACAGATCCACAGGAGCTGTATCTGAATGTGGGCGGCTATGGGTAAGAGAGCTGGTGGGCACGAGTGGGGATCACATATATAAATGAGTGTGGTTGCGTATGAGCATTGCTAGTGATGGGAGGTGCGCTCTGAGAGATACACTTTCGGCAGTTCTGCCATTGTGACATCATAAAGTCATCAAGATGGTGTAGCTAAACTGGATATTCAGGCTATAGGATTCATGCCTCTCTCTCTCTCTCTCTCTCTCTCTCTCTCTCTCTCTCTCTCTCGTGTGTGTGTGTGTGTGTGTGTGTGTGTGTGTGTAAAATTATGTGCCGTTGGTGGTGTGACTCAGTACCCTTTCTCACAGTCTCCCTTTCCAATGAGCAGAGCCTCTCAGAGCCATTCTCTAAGAAACAACCGTGTAGTGTAGTAAAGACACTTGCACAAGACAGTCATTTATCATTATTGTCAATTACCGTGTGCTGTATGTGATGGTCTGTGCTGTGTTGTTTATGTAGCTGGCAACACAGAAAATGTATTTACCCAGTGTCACCACAGAAAGTGAGGCATTGCACTATAATGGCTATAATGGCTCTCGTGTTGCTAAACCTCAGGAATTTCCCAGATCCATTATAATCATTTTTACTGTTTTGAAACAGGATCTAATGTAGCTAAGGCAAGTCTCAAACTCATTGGAGAGCCATGCATGACCTTGAACTTCTGATCATCCTGACTTCACCTCCCAAATATTGGGATTGTAGGTGAATACCTCTGTGTCCTGTTTGGTGCAATGCTGGGGACCAAACCCAGAGTCTCAGGCATGTTAGTAAGTGTGCTGGCTAGTTTTGGTCACCTTGACACCAACGAGAGTCACCTGGGAAGGGGGGGTCTCACTTGAGGAATTGCCTCCATCAAATTGATTTGTAGGCAAATATCTTAGTTATTTTATAATGCTATGCCAAGCCATCATGATCAAAGCAACTAATAAAATGAAGTGTTTAATTTGGGGCTCAGCATTCTAGAGGGTTAGAGGCCGTGACCATCACGGCAGGGAATACAGCAGCAGGCAAGCAGACAGGGCACTAGAGCATTGGGTAGGAACTTCCACCTTG